CAATTCTATCAATTTCAACTTTCTATCACTCAAATCTACTCCAATTTTCAATTAGGTTTCATTTGAACTTTAAAGGAAAATTTTTAATTCGGACATTTTTGTTCGCAAGATTTTTTTTTTTCAAATAAAATTTGATATCATTCTTGAATAATTATTACTCCGACTTATTTATTGATTGTATTGTTCTTAATTTAAGCTGAATTACGTTTTGCAACAAAATATAATCTTTGTAAGATGCATGTAGTATTTGGTAATTTAATAGTTGAATCGTTGAACGTCTTATTTATTGTGGAATAAGTAATGTTCCAAAAACATTTGCATATTGGTGTAACATCACGTGACTCATGCAGAAAATTATGCCTCCTTAGGCTCGTTTGATGAGATTTTTATGATACAACTGTTCGTAACTTATGGGTACACTAGTATGCCAGTTACTTCAGTCAACGACGATTAGGTTTAAAAAGACTCTGTTTTTAAATTACTCATTAAGATTAAATTAAATGCGTTTCGGCCTAGCCTTGGCTTCAGCAGTAGTGTAGTTTTGGTGGTCTGGTGGGTAGCGAGCGATGGTGATGATGATAATAATTATTAAATAATAATATTGGATTTGGAGGAATATTATAGAAATGTATGTGGCGGTGTAAGTATTATTACGTAGTTGTCTGTTAATATTGTTATTGTTGTTGTGGCGAAGCAGAAGAATCTACTAAAACAAAAGGTAAACAAAAGTCAGGAAGGGGATCTCACCACGTTCGCCGCAGCCAGACAACTTCTTGGCTTTATTATTGTATAGAGATAGTGCACAAAGCAGTTTAATACGATCGTTAATTGTATCACATAAATTAAAGTAGATTATACTTTAATTGGAAGTTCCGTTATCCGGAGTATCAAAAAAGATAAGATATTAATCATTTTATTTGTAATGTTAATATACAGAAAATGAACACCAGAGTATTACTAAACTAACTTCTAATTATCCATGTTTTCAAGAATTACTTCGAGACATTTCTCAAAACTTTAATATTAAATAAATGGAGAAATGTACACCTACAGATGTTATAATATCACAGTGATTTCAACACAATGAATGTTTAGTAACACGACGATCAAAACAAAATTCGGTGTCACCGAAGGTGTATTTTTATGTGACAGTAAATCGTGACATTTACGGTCATGACAATAAACGTCGAGACTTTTGTGGTCATCAAAACTAGATGTCGCACGTGTTTAAATGTAACTAGATGTTGTGACGTTAAGCCGCTTGAGAACGGCCACAGAAAAATGTCGCACCGTTTAGTCGTATTTTGTAACAACAAAAACCATGACTTTTACTATCGTGTAAATGTTAAACTTAGCATGTGTTTTACGGTTATGACACTAAATACTTCTGTCGTCACGACACTAAACGTCGAGACTTTTATCGTCGTCCGAATTATCTAGTTTTGATGACGCGACATCTATCGCGTCATCCGGTCTATAAGTGCCTAGACGTCGTGAGAATAAATTGCATGAAAACACAGCTGCAGAAAAATGTCGATAGAAAGAATGCGTCTTTGCTACCTGGTTCGCGCGGCAAATTTAAACAAAGTAGCGTCGACGCGTTCGCGCCTACATTCGAATCGGTCGCATGACGCACCGGAATCCTTGGAAACCCGATATATGTCGTAGAACCCTTTGTAGGAGCACGCAGCAACGCGCGTAATTCTGTTTTGATATTATTAGAAACAACCTCCGAAGCATGCCCTCCCGCCCACGTTGCAACCGCACCGAGCAGCGCCGACTGACTGTCAACACCGAGCAGCGAAAGTAGAGAAGCCACGAAGAAGAGGGTCACCGCACGACGACTGACGCGCAAGTCCCTTTTACGAACCGTACGTAATTGAAACGGAGTTAGGAACAAGTTAACGAGCGATTCTCTTCGTGATTATGCGATACCGGCCACCTGGACGCCCTTAACGTATCTGAACAATCAAAAAGATCCAAATACACGAACCTCGAGGCTACTCTTCGTTTATCAACAGTGAGAGTTTAAGATCCTTAACTATCCTTCACAAGTCCTAGAGGTCAAACACCGAATATCATACTAGTCTAATTAGCAGAGGTATTTGTACTACGGAGTAATTCTCCTTCAGAGAGACTTGTAAGGCATGCGTACGCAACGGTACTTCAATTCCCTGTTTCTCTTTACGACGCGATTTAACGCCACATCTCGTAAAACTCGATCAAACGAGCGCAAAGGGAAGTAATATCACGCCAATCGGACGCACTCGTAGCTGCGTTATAATAGAAGCTAGGAGGAGCCTGGATGAGTCTAGGACGGGGCAGCAGCCGTAAACAGGAGCAATGGCGCGACGCTTTTATTGCCGGTACGCTAACCACCATCGCGTATTTAATCAGCTTGGCTTTGTTGGACCGAAATACCCGCGACGCGGCCGTTTTTGACGCGTTCAGACGGCCGGTGTTCTCGGAAACGGCACGCACGAGCAAGAAAAATCGGTCGCTCGTAAATCAACGGCACCGGTTCACCATCTTACAGCTGTTGGCTCGTGTGTGTACGCTTAGTTTCTATGTAGCGTTCCTAGTGCGTCAAAATTTTGGTAACTAGGATTTTGGAGGAAGGTTTAGGTTCACACGCGTTTACGTATTCACGCAATGAATCATCGTGTAGTAGATTACTCTGCAGTATAGATCTCTGTGGTGGATCGTCAGATGTAGTGTTTAGGCGCGCTGTAACTCCATGCGCCGTATTTCCACACGTCGTATCTTCACGTGTGCTATTTTTCTACGCTAAGTATTTTTACACGTATCGCTATGCATATGTACTTCGACATGATCTATCTTCAAGCGTCTATCATTCCGTATCTTCACATATGGTATGTCTACTGATTTCGACGCGTAGCACCTTCCTATATCTCCACGCGCCGTATCTCCCCGCGCGGTATTTTCCCGCATCATAAATAGAGGTTGATCAGTTACCCAGTTACGGGAATGAGAATAGCGCACTGAGAAGAAACGATGAACGCGTTAACCTGGTTTGAATCGTCGGAAGTAGAAGAGCGCGAGAAGAGATCGAAAGGAAAGAGAACGTTAGGGAAGCCTGAGTGGATATCCTCGGTGGGTAACGTAGGTACTATCGTATATCTTCCCACAGGAGGGCGGGAACGTCGTGTCTCTCGTAAGGGGAGACGGCAGAAGGGCGAGAAGGGTCCTATTAACGCGCGACCGCCGACAATAATGCGGAGAAAGGGCACATGAATGCCTCGTGTTTGCACATGCGCGGGAGCGATGAACTTGAGAAGAAGGTCTCTCCTTCGAGTCTCGTTGTCCTACCGCTTCGTGCTCTAGCTTTTCAGGACGAACTTTCATGCTTCTTATCCTCCGTTTTTACTCGCTTTAATATATCAAGTAATCCTATAAATAATTCAGTTTTTTAGAACTCGCAAATATTCTGCTTGGAATATGAGACATCTAATGTTATTATTTTACAAAAGAATCTTTTTGCGTAATGAAAGAATTTTTATCTGATGAAAAGATACGCTAGAAACTGACTTCATATTCGAAAGAGTTGTATATAAAAAAAGTTTGATAATAGTTTGACGCGAACAGTTGTGCGGGAGGGGAAGATATAAAAGTGTTGTTCGACACGAGACACGATGTCGACTGATGTGAAGGTACGAAAGTGTCGGAACATGCCCCGAGAAGGAACGAAACGCGGTGGTCGCGATTGGAGCGAGTCAGCTCCGAGAACGACATTCCATACACGTGTGTCCTTAACTCAGCCTCCTACAGCATTCGCGACGATCGACCTAACTATCAGAGATCGCAATCGCGGTGAGAACGTACGGTGAGAAACAGGAAACACGTATGACGTCCTGCTGATACGTTCTTCTTCTTTAATCTTAACCCTTTACTAGCGAGAGGTTAATACCATTGTCTGTTAACCTCTTCAAGAATAGCTCATGTACAAACTGATAGTCTCCTTTATAAACAAAATTTATGTATGCACATTCGTGTATTAAATATTTTAAGAATTCTGAGTACATGTTCTTCTTGAATGTGCACTAATGAACATATCGATTAAAGGTAAGTAAAAGTACAAGAAACAAATCGCAACTGGAAAGTCGTTGAAAGAAAAATAGGAAACGCATTGTGCAGAGAGGAGCTGCGCTCAGATGCGAGCCATTGAAAGCGATTATTCACGTGTTGCGCAAGAAGTTATATTTACCGTAACGTATTGACGAATTCTTTCGTTCGATCGATCGGATTTTGGAAAAAAACTGAGAGTCCGGAATGAGAACCGCTGTCAGCGCTGCCCCGTTACAGACGCACGCTGGCACAGGAAATATGAATGTAACGCCGAAAATTCATTCATGATATGAACCGCGAACGGGGGCGTACGATTTGAATTTTGGAGCACACGGGACCTGTCTCGAGGAAAGGTTAACGAAATTTGTCGATAAATAACAGGCTCGTGTTCCCTCAAATCGTGGGAATAATGGGACGATTAGAGAGGCTTACGCGATCGCGTAGGCCGCCATGTCCCACGTGTGGGTTCGCTTAAGAATTTATAGAGAAACGGTCTTGCGGGCAAATTAAGAGAAAAAAATGCGAATACTCTTTTTTTGAGAGATCTATCGCAATTTTACGACTCCATTTACATTAATTCGCGAAAGTTACGTCGTCGATAAGTATAGACCGAGGAAGTATTGTGAACCCTCTTTATTCTTCAGATAATTGTCGGATATTTTATGCATTCGTGTATATGTAGATTTTATTGGAACACCCTGTATGTAATATAACACAAATGTAAACATGTGTACGTAATATGAAAAAATGAAGATATAAATAATAAATAAATAAATATATTTAATAGTCCAACTGAATTTTCAAGAATTTAAAATAGTGAGCAAAAGTCAGATTGTATAAAGAGAAATAAAAGTGGAGGGTCATAATACCAGCTCTTTCTCTGCGTGTGTACGCTTATGTGTGTGTGTACATACTTTATCGTAGTTTGGTCGCGTGATGTATCGTAGCGTCCGTGAATTCACTCGATCGTTGACGTTTGCTCACTTTTCTTCGACTCGTGTTTCCCAGAACGAACGGTAATATATCCGTGGCGTGCTCGCTTCCCGTATGGGCCATCGAACTTGGGACGCACTGTAGAGGAGGAGCCGAGGCCCGTATTATGGGAACACATACGCCTGAACACGTGTGTCTCACTTCCTGCGGCGGGCCGGAAGTCTCTATAGTACTATGGCGCACCGTAGTGTAGCGTGACCACGCTACAAGGGCCATTACTACCTCAATGGCAAAAAGAATGGTCCAATTACCGGTTAAAGCCACGTTGCTCGTCGTTACTCCTTTAATGCGTTTTTCGGGGGCGTGTACGGCTATCTCGGCTTTCCTCGCGATTCTCTTTACCCTCGTACGATTTTTCTTCTCCTCCGACTCTTTTGTTTTCTTCGACGAACGATATATTACGAGTGTGTGCCATCGTTTCGTCCAAGATTCTTATTCACGCTCTGCACGAAATCGAGAACGTTTCCGTTGTTCCGAGAATTCCATCTCGACGTTACGAATAAAAGCGTTCGTTCTCGAGAAGAGAAACCGGTAGTGCGATTTCCGGTCAAAGGTTCCGCCATCGAGTTTTCGTTGTTACAAACCATTCTGGCCTGTTCCAGCCACGTGTTCGATTTCCGTTAAACACCGTCGACGCACTGATACGCATCCCTTTTTTCGTGTCCCGAGGACGCACGGCCAACGCTCTTTGTATACAAACAACCGCGAACCCTGTTACGTACATGTACCCCGAACGTCTTCGCCCTTGACACCAACCGCACGGGATGTTTATCCAGTCCGAGCAGACACTCGCGCACACGCGTCGATAAGTATAGACCGAGGAAGTATTGTGAACCCTCTTTATTCTTCAGATAATTGTCGGATATTTTATGCATTCGTGTATATGTAGATTTTATTGGAACACCCTGTATGTAATATAACACAAATGTAAACATGTGTACGTAATATGAAAAAATGAAGATATAAATAATAAATAAATAAATATATTTAATAGTCCAACTGAATTTTCAAGAATTTAAAATAGTGAGCAAAAGTCAGATTGTATAAAGAGAAATAAAAGTGGAGGGTCATAATACCAGCTCTTTCTCTGCGTGTGTACGCTTATGTGTGTGTGTACATACTTTATCGTAGTTTGGTCGCGTGATGTATCGTAGCGTCCGTGAATTCACTCGATCGTTGACGTTTGCTCACTTTTCTTCGACTCGTGTTTCCCAGAACGAACGGTAATATATCCGTGGCGTGCTCGCTTCCCGTATGGGCCATCGAACTTGGGACGCACTGTAGAGGAGGAGCCGAGGCCCGTATTATGGGAACACATACGCCTGAACACGTGTGTCTCACTTCCTGCGGCGGGCCGGAAGTCTCTATAGTACTATGGCGCACCGTAGTGTAGCGTGACCACGCTACAAGGGCCATTACTACCTCAATGGCAAAAAGAATGGTCCAATTACCGGTTAAAGCCACGTTGCTCGTCGTTACTCCTTTAATGCGTTTTTCGGGGGCGTGTACGGCTATCTCGGCTTTCCTCGCGATTCTCTTTACCCTCGTACGATTTTTCTTCTCCTCCGACTCTTTTGTTTTCTTCGACGAACGATATATTACGAGTGTGTGCCATCGTTTCGTCCAAGATTCTTATTCACGCTCTGCACGAAATCGAGAACGTTTCCGTTGTTCCGAGAATTCCATCTCGACGTTACGAATAAAAGCGTTCGTTCTCGAGAAGAGAAACCGGTAGTGCGATTTCCGGTCAAAGGTTCCGCCATCGAGTTTTCGTTGTTACAAACCATTCTGGCCTGTTCCAGCCACGTGTTCGATTTCCGTTAAACACCGTCGACGCACTGATACGCATCCCTTTTTTCGTGTCCCGAGGACGCACGGCCAACGCTCTTTGTATACAAACAACCGCGAACCCTGTTACGTACATGTACCCCGAACGTCTTCGCCCTTGACACCAACCGCACGGGATGTTTATCCAGTCCGAGCAGACACTCGCGCACACGCGTACCGCGTTTCATGGCCGTGAACAACGAAGAAAGAGCGACGCGCACTCGACGATATAAAAATACAACCGTACCGCGGCACGGCTCGTACCACACTGAGAGTGATCGCTGGCGCGTCATGCTCACGGCGATGCGCAGACATAGGCTGCGCAGACGTGAGCTGCGCACACGCCGCTGCGCACGATGCGCGCTCGCGTTCGCGCTCGCCAACACGCACTCACGCATGCGCAATGCACGCACCCACACGACACTAGCCGACTGGACGCGTACGCGATGCGTTGCCGCGGGTGGTAAGGAACCGAAGGGCCAGGGACGTAGCGAGGGGGAGAAAAGGGATCCAGAGAGGGGACGAAACAGACCCGTTAGTTCTCAGAAGTGGACCGCCACCGCTCGCCGCCAAACAGACCTGTAACCACGTACCGATCGTGGTGGTTCTCTCTCGCCTGCCACCGTCACCGGGCTTTTTGGACCCTGTCGAGCAACGTGTCCCGTCTTGAGGTGTGACCATCGATATTCTTATCGATAATATCGCGAGATTTCCGATAATTCGATATGGAGAAAATATCTTCAAGATGGTCACTAAGATTACTGTGCTTGATAACTCTTTTATTTAAATATATTCATTGGTGCTGGAATTAGTTCAGACACGTATAGGGTCTTTCATACTCATTTCTCAAAAACTGACAAAATTTCAATTTCTCTATCCTAATTATCTAACGAATGGGGCGAAATATTTTAAAGAAAACTTTCTTCTTCCCTCCACTTCGTACCGCAAGAGATTTTCACGCGTCACGCGATAAAACGACGCACCCGCGCGCGTTCTGTCGCAAGCTGACCGGCCATTGATTAGATACAAGTGTTTACCCGAGTGACGAACACATACCGATGTCATGTGTTTTTTCATGAGAAAAACGACGGAACGCGAGGAACGAGGCTCGTAAATACCGTCGATGAAATTGGGAGAGAAACTGGTTATCGGTTTAGGTCCGCGCCGCGGGGAGAAGAAAGAGAAAAGTTACGGGGTCTGTGTGTGTCGTGTGGGAAAAGCAGGCAGACCGTTTCGCCGAAATGCGACCTCGGCTCTCGTCTAGTTTTTCTTACCGAGTAAAAGCGGCAAGTGGAGAGCGGTCGAAGGCCGCGTGCATCGAGGATCAACATTTCCTTTCTTTCATGGAACGGGGGCAACGTCGTGGGTGGTACATCATGGAGCGTTTGCATGAACGAAACGTGAAAGTTGACTCTCACGCACACGAACGTTCTTTCTGCTGTACCACCAATTTTGGACGAATTGTCGAATCGGATGATTAACATAGGTTTCATCCTGGGTACAAAGGCGATAACGCGTGGTAAACAGTTTCGAGGTTACGACATCTGATGTTTAGATCGTTCGCTAATTCGTTTTTGCATTAGATGGATTGCAAATGACCGACTTGTTTTCCAAAACACAGTTAGCAATAAGGGTGTAAAGAGAGAAACATTCGATACGAGTGATCGTCCCATTAGGCTGTTCCTTCTCGCCGGGACGCGCACGGGCGGTCTAAGAACTGCAAGATTCATTAACGGTTCCTCGGCACGGACACGCACGCTCGCTTGTATGTGTACAACGGCGTGCATTCCATCGGTCGCGCTCGTGTGAACGACCGTAAGGTGTGCTCGTACGCAGAAAGAGACACACGAGGAAGAAAGATCCGAAGATAGATGCGTAAAAAGGAAAGAAACAGGAGAGAGAGAGAGACTGTATGTATTTGATGCGCACAGTTTGCCTGTGCTAGACGGTAGACCTTGTCTATCGTCATCATCGAGGTACGCTAGGAACGTAGGAGAGTTATTAAGGTCAGTGGTGTAGCGAGGATCGCGACGTGTCCCGAGTTCTAGGACCTCGTGAATTGACCTCGCTGAATAAGCTCCGTGCGTCTCGTTACCCAGTAAAAGGTTATTACAGTTTCCCGTAATCGCGTTCCCTGTTGCACGCGGTTCGAACCATCGATCCGATTGCAATTGAACGCGCTCCGGTAATCCGCTTCGAATCGATCGATTTACACGGCAATAATAACGGTTATAAATAACGCGGACCTATTGTGCTCCGATTGTTTCACCAGGGACCGATAGAAGGCGGTACTCTTACTCTCTAATGCAAATTAAACATCGATCTGGTTCAATCTGTTAATCGTCACGATTTAAGGCCGACTTAAATTACACCCAACGATTCGACACAATAAAAGCTTGTAGCTACAATGTAAATTGTATACAAGTATCTGTTAGAACTTTATGATCCTTTACAAACCTACAATACACCTTCATCTTGTTATCTACACTTTGTCCAACACAACCTTACATAACCGCAACTTAGCCTAAACCATAATTCAGCGCAATGTAACCTGACCTAATAACAAAATATCGCAATGTAGATTCGTGTGACCCAGAACGGAAGCGCCACTTTTTCGGTTAATCATTCTTCCGATGATTCTACGGTCACAGGCTTTATTTTTTCTCCGGTGTTCTCCGAGGCGGAAACAGAAAGTCGGCCGCGATGCACGAATCTCGCTCGCGATATACCCGAGATAAGTTGGCCCGAAGGCGGAACCGAGAGTTGCAAGTTTGTCGTCACGGCTGATCGAGCCACGTTTCAGACGATGCTTGCCAACAGCGAGAGGGAGAGAGATCGTGTGTATAATTTGCGAATGTACCGAAAGGTACGGTATACTCCGGCCGGCAATCGTGTGCCGGGCAAAGCTTTAATAATCAACTCCGCTTTAAACGTGCAATTTACATTTCGATCAACTATGTGCGCCCACTAAGATGTTGCTTTCTCTGCTCAACGAAATTTCTTTTGTACATTGGCGTATTTATGTAGAGGACATCATTTTTCTAGATTCGGTAGTGATGGCTTTATGAGCGATATGAACAAGTGACTTCAGAAAAGCTTGAAAGTGGAGACTTAGACATTTTGATATTTGGGAACTTTGGAGAGTTAAGATTTTGTAAGTTGTACAAACTGAAGATTCGGGGTTTCAAACTTCAGGAAATGCATCTGGAAGAAATAGAAAATCTCTGACGCAGGGTAAGACCAACGTTCTTTATGAGCGATATGAACAAGTGACTTTATACAATCTTGAAATTGAGACTTAGACATTTTGATGTTTGGAAACTTTGGAGAATTAAGATTTTGTAAATTATTCCAACTGAAGATTCGAGGTTTGAAACTTCAGGAAATGCATCTGGAAGAAATAGAAAATCTTTGATGCAAAGTAAGACTAACGACCTTTATGAGCGATATGAACAAGTGACTTTATACAATCTTGAAAGTGGAGACTTAGACATTTTGATGTTCGGGAACTTTGGAGAGTTAAGATTTTGTAAATTGTACAAACTGAAGATTCGGGGTTTCAAACTTCAGGAAATGCATCTGGAAGAAATAGAAAATCTCTGATGCAAAGTAAGACTAACGTCCTTGAGTTTGAAGTGGGTTGAACCCATAATTTGTGTGTGCGGGGGGCGGTAACATGTTTCTCGGTTACCTAATTACGGCAATACGTAGTAAACGAAACGTCGAGGCGACGCCCATGCGAGAGATCGCGGAGGCGCACCTAACCTATAAAGAGACACGGAAACGTGACGGAATGCGCGCGTACGCCCGCGTGCGTCACTTTGCACCGCGTCCTCTTTCTCAAGCCACCGTGTACTTTTTAATTACACGAGTCCGTTCCTTTCTGGATCGATAGCGATGCCGTGCGTTTCACCGTTTACTCGGACCAGCTCGTCAAGGAAGCC